GGCAGGACTCGGGCTCCCTTTGCACAGCGACGCACGGGAGGGAAGGGTTGCAAATCCTGCTCGTTCCTCCCCGCAAAACGCGGAGCTTTGTAATCGAGGGCACTGAACTTCGACTGCCGAGTTCAGCAGAGGCACAGGACGCTTCCACCGTTCCCGGCACAGAGGCCGTGGTGTCCTGGCCATTCCCGGGCCGGCACCGAGGGGCGGTGGGATGAGCTCAGCAGCGAGGAATGCGCTTTGTTGGGTGCGAGCGGGGCCGCGCTCACAGGGCCCATTGTCGGGGCGGTTTTGGCAGGGATGCCACGGCCCGACGTGCCGGGGCCGGCCCGGGACCCGCGGGGTGTGGGGGTCAGAGCACGCTGCTGATGCTGGCGGCTGCCCCGTGGGGCTGTCAGCAAAGCAGCTCAGCATTCCGAGTCCTTTCCTGCTTCCCCCTTCAAAAAAAAAAGCAAAAAAAAAAAAAAGCTGTCGAGTAATTAGCACAGCATTCCTGAGCACAGCTCAGCTGGGTGCCTGTACCACCATTCCGCAGCTACGAGCAGGGACCTGCTTGGCAGGGAGTGACTGAGTCTGAAATAGCCGGTGTGAATGGCAGCTCTTGTTCTCCTGAGGTGCATCCTTGCTCCCTGCTAGTGCCATCGCTGCAGGCACTTGTGGAGACCTCCTGGTGCTCATGGGGGAGTTGGTCTGCAGGACCACTCACGGCAAGAGTTGGATGTGCACAAACACCTCCTGCCTGGGGCTTTTCCTGAACGTAAGAGCAACACGCCTTCTCATATCCATTACTTCATATATGGTTCTCAAGGCAACAGGAACCCTAGGTGCATTCAGACTGAAAGTATTAAGGAATTTGATCATCAGCCACCCGCAGTTTGACTTTTTTCCCCACCCACCCTAACAATTCCTAATTTTGAAATTCTTTACTTTCTCCTTCCAGCCCCCTCGGGTGTTTTCAGTTTCTTGTGGAGAAGCTGGGTTGGTTGCTGTTGCTATTTTTCTGCTGGCTTAAACTTGCTTCATGTTATGTGTTTCTTTTCTGGATGCGAGATGTAAGTGGTCTCTGGGTGCCCATTAAGAGGTTGGGCAGAGCTATTTTAATCTGTATTTCACTCCTGTGAGCTCCACTGGTTTGATTCTTTTTATTCCTTTCTGTTTTAGAAGTCTGTATGGTTTTGTTTTCTAGCCAAACCTACACTGAAAGGACTGGATTTGAACTTATTTTTACAGTTGCCTGTTCCACTTTATGAGAGACCCTTTCCAGAGGCCCAACAAGCACCAGTAGACAGTACAGAATGGTGGATGCAATAGTGGCCTGAAGTTTTCTTACTGATTGGAATAGCTTCAATTCCAGTTAAAGTAAAAGCTATTGAAAACCTCTAAACTGTAATGTTTAATTTCTTGCAAAAAACAAACAAACAAAAAAGAAACAAAAACCAAACAACCCCAACATTTTTTTCCATCCTTCTGCCTGTGCCCAGGTCAGCACTCAGTTACTGTTCTTGTAGCCCTCCAGTGGGATGTCACTCCTCCTCTGAAAAACTCACCTTGTGAAAAGCTTGGTGGATTTGCTGTGTACACAGCGTGTCACTTACACTTCCTGAAGGTACAGTTCCTCAGGTAAGGAACACCCTGAGGTTCGTTAGTGCCGCTGGCCATGGGCTGTGCCTTGGCAGGGTGCAGGAGCAGGGCTGGGAGTGGATGAGCTGGAAGCCTCCTGGTGTTTGGGTAAGCTGGATGCCAAGGAACAGCTCTGCTATGGGTCACAGCACTGCCTGCAAACCCTGCTGAGCAGCAGAGATGCCGTGGGGTTGGAGCACATTGTTGGAGGCTGGCAGGCCACAGCTGGGAATCCAGGGAGCTGACTTGAGCTCAGCTGCCTGGTACCAGCTCTGAGCAATAAGCTCAGCCTGTGCTCCTGTGGGGTGAGCTGGTGCCCGTGGCCAGACCCATGTGCTGAGCCCTGAGAAGCTGTGAGGTGGACCTGGGCTGAAGTGTCACTGGAGAAAATGGTTGCAGTATGTTTTCAAACCACAGAGGAACCTGTGTAATTGATTTAAAGACTTATCCCTACAGAGGATGTCACTAATGTCTTTAGCAGGCACAGTATGCCTGTGAACTATACACTTCAGCAAGGAATTTCCTTAGCTTGCTCCGCTCCATCTCATCTGCATGCTTTTGTTTGGCATGCAGGGAGCAGGGCTTTTGAAGAGCTTGGCTTAGTGTGGAGTTTTCACTGTTGCAGAAGATCAAGCCCTAATGAGCACTTAATTTTTCTGTCCCCCAATTGCTATAGCTGTTTAACAGTAGGTGAGAATAATTAGAGGTGGGGAAATGCTCAGAAACTTCAAGACACCAGGATTTAAAATTCCTATGGTACCTACATAAATGATTCATAACTGAGATGACCTTTGTGCATTCCACAAAGTTCCTTTCATATTTGGAACTAAGGAGTAAGTGCTGGAGACCACTCCTTTGTTTTGTATGAATCTTGGGTTGCATCTTGGGTTCTTCTTCCATGTAATGCAGAAAACAAAATTTTGAATAGGGAAGACATCAAGATTGGAGAGGGTGTCCACTTCTTAGAGAAGCTGAATGAAAAGACAGAAGTTCCTCCACATGAAGACCAACAGCAAAACTTCTGAGAACTTTGCACAGACTGTGAACAAGAAACTGCATTAAAGAAAAAGTCACTGCTCAAAAAATTGCTCTTTCAGTCTTTCATTTGTTTCACAAGACTTTGTACAGTCTGTATTACTAGCTCAATTTAGTAAGGAAGCTGTCTGCTGGGGTAGCTTATCTTGTTTCCACGAATTGTCCAAGAGAAAATGACTTGCGGCTCTGCTATAGGGCAGAGTTCAGGGAGCAGAGCCACAGTTTGGGTAGTGCTTGTGCTTAACCTGAATGCAGAGCAGACTTGCACAGGAACAAAAGATACTAGTCACAAACTTGTTTGTAACACCAGGGTTCTTTTGAACTGTAGAATAATTTTAGTTTTGAAAGGACCTAATGAATGTCATATAGTTCAAGCTATGTACTCCAAGTAGAGTTTAGGAGTCTCCACTGGAGTAGGTGAATTTGCAGGCTTCAAATGAATGCCAGGTTTCACTTCTGGCACTTGCTCCTAGGGCAGCTGCAACCACAAATACAGAGGACCAAGCTCTGCAGCGCTGGCAGGTTTCCACTTGGTAGGTTGGGTTGGGAAACGTTTTGTGGCCCAAGCCATAAAAATGACACACATTTGTCTCGAGATGGTCACATTGCTGGCTTAGACTAGTCATGCTGCTGTCTGAAAGCTAGGCACTTTAACATAATTCTTTGTGCTTTAAGGAGTGTGATATTAACAGTCCAAGTGAAACATATCGTATTAATATTTAGTATAGAACACCAAGTATAAATCAGCTTGAGCAGTTAAAACTTGGTTCATTTTCAAGATGGTGTGTGCTTGTTGACCTATGGAATTGCCATAATCCATTTTTTGGACTGGTTGCCACTTAGTTAATAGGATAATAAAAGGGTAAGAATTGCAATCTAGACTCAGAGGTGTGATGGGGGAAGCAAATAAGCTCTGCTTCAGTCTGTTTTTCTCTTCACCCTACCAGGCAGCCGCTTAAATCCTAATAGCTGACTAAGAAGCAGGATACTCCTACATAAAACTTAATGTTGTAGGCTATATATAGCCTTTTTTTTTTTTTTTTTTTTAAACAGAAGAGTGAGTGCTTGCTTGTTCAATGTTGGTGTTGATTCTGCAGAACAGCTTAAGTCTCGTGGATGGGTTTCCCCCCGCAGGCAGCGGGTGGGTCATGTTGAGCTGCATCCTGAGGCCAGGACCCCTCAGCTGGGTGCTGACTGCAGCCCAGCCCTGCAGGTGGCTTCTGCCTGCATCCAGCTGAACCAGGCTGCATCTTGCCTGGTGGCTGCTGCTATTTTGTTGACGTTGGGTTGCCACTGGGTACTTTTTTTTTTTTTTTTTTTTTAAACAGAAGAGTGAGTGCTTGCTTGTTCAATGTTGGTGTTGATTCTGCAGAACAGCTTAAGTCTCGTGGATGGGTTTCCCCCCGCAGGCAGCGGGTGGGTCATGTTGAGCTGCATCCTGAGGCCAGGACCCCTCAGCTGGGTGCTGACTGCAGCCCAGCCCTGCAGGTGGCTTCTGCCTGCATCCAGCTGAACCAGGCTGCATCTTGCCTGGTGGCTGCTGCTATTTTGTTGACGTTGGGTTGCCACTGGGTACTTCTAGAGGAGGAAAGCAAGTTAGAGTAATTGAAGTTAAAATGCACATTGAACAGTGTAGGTGGGAATGAAAGTTCCTGTTAAATCCAAACTTGAGTGTTTCTACTTCTTGATTCTGGACTGTGTGTCTAGCCATGATAAGTTGCAGAATGTCTGAAAGTGATAATTAACAGCATTCACAAATTTGAAGTCTGGAACTGAGTATCAGCTGGACTTGTGTGTAACAGCAAAAAAATTGAATTCTAATGGAGGGGAAAAAACCCAAATAACCCATACCCCAAAAGACCCCAAACCCTTCACCCTGTGACTGTTTTAGATGACACTTCTAAAGTTTGTTGCCTGAGTTTCCATCTGAGATGGAGTCCTCATAAGCTTTTGTCTGGGACAGGCAAGCAGTCCTATGGCTTTCCAGCCTTGGATTCCTGCTTCATGCCTGGGTTTCCTGTAAAAATGTGTCTTCTGAAAGTGTGAATCAAATGGCTGTCAGCAGGTATCCTGCTCCACTGCTGGTGTGGTGGTGTGACTCAGCTCTGCAGGAACTTTGATCTCCAAAGCACACATCTCATTGTGTACAATGAACCAGCGAGTGAGTGTGCTCTGACATCAGCCCAAGTGCATCTGCAGATGTTACCTTAAGCATTACAAAGTAAATAACGCAAATTAGGTAGATGACCACACTTTCTCCAAAAAAGGTTATGTTCAAGCTGTCTACAATGGTGCTGTAAGGAATTAGTTCAGCCCTGCTAAATTATCTTGGAGGATGAGATGTGACAGCTCACTTCCTCTGAGCCCGGGCTGGCGGCTGTCGCCTGCCTGGAGAGGGCTCATTAATCGGCGGAAACTCGGCTGGTGCCACAGAGAAAACACACACACACACACACTGTTTCAGCTGAAAGCAGAGAATTTACTCCCCTCTACCTAAGTCATTGCTGCTGAAAGCCAAGCATTGCTAGTGGTGGAGGTGCATCCTCAGGCGGCCGGGCTGTTGTGTGGTGGTTCTGATGCACTGACTGCAAGGAGTGTGTGCCTCTGTTGTAAATTGACTGTGAGCTCCAGAGGAGCAATTGAGGAACATGCTTTGAAAGGCTCTGCACAACTGCAAAGTATAGATTGTGTAAGTAACAAGTATGCTTAAAAGTGATTTTCTTAGTAGGAAGGCAGTGTTGCAAGATCTACTGCTCACTAATTCAATTTTCTAGCCTGGAATGGCCAGAGAAAGTGTCTTGAAGCAGACTAGAGAAAGGGGAAAATCCAGTGAAAATCCATCCAATGTAGGATACATGGCAGCATCTGCAGTAATGATTGTTGGTACTTAAGTGTAATTGGAAAGATGTTGTTTTGCTGTTCCAACACACTGGCAGTGTGCAGTTGGAGCTGGTGGGAAATGCTTGCAAGGCATGGCTGTACTGAGGGTGTTTCATGGTTCTCTGGGCCAGCTCTGTGCTCCTTGTGCAGGACCTGTGAAGGGATGCTTGCCTTCCTAGGTGCCACTTGCATCTTAATACCCAACAGACCTTGTGGAGAATGCACTGAATGTTTTAAGTCAGTTAATGAAAAAGTCAGCCCTAGAGTGGAGGCTTTTCTGGAGAGGCTGTATGTTTGGGTGGTGCTGAGCTTTACACCAGTGTTTAGAAGCAGAGCGTGCTTTGGGCTGGACTCTGGTCTCTTCTTGAATGTACTTTTGTGTTGTGGTAGAGATTGTGAGCAAGAGCCAAGGTGCTGGAGGGATCCCCTGTAGCTGGTTGCTGATAAGGTCTCCTGTCCTGCCCAGGGGTTCTTCTCCCTCCCTCCTCTCCACCCCAAATGAAAGCAGACAAGCCTTCCTACAGGCGGGCTTGGAAAAAATTACATCATGAGATCCCTATGCCTGTCAGGAAGCTGGGAAGCTGTAAGAGCTTGCTAACTTCGCTAACAATGTGCAGTTGCAGGGATGGCACCAGCCCTGGGGAGGAAGAGCCGTCCCGCTCCTGTAGTGAGATTTTTTTGTCACTGGGGCAGTGGCCCCATGCCTGGCCTCTCTGGACGAGGCTGAGACAGGGTATTCTTGCTTTTGATGTGAAGCTGTCTTGTGCACAGACTCATTTTCCCCAGATGAAGGGCCATTGCCCAGCTGTGCCCTCGGAGGTGGCGATGGGGGCTGGATGAAGCTCTGAGCATGCGGTTGGTTGCTGCAGTGACCACAGCACCTCCACACACAGACATAATTTATGTGCCCTAAATATGAAACGGGCCATTCTCTGTCTTGAGTAGTGTGTGCATAACAGGGTGATCGAGGTGATTCTGTCCTGATGGCTTTCTTCCCTGGGAATGCCGGATGACTTTCTGGAATGGGTTCACTTGTAGCACACTAAATCATTGCTCTGTCCACTCCAGTAAAGATGCCAATGTCAGCATAAATCTGAAACTGAAGCTTGGAGGCGTTTGGTGCAGGGATGTGATGGCCAGTTGTGTGCTTGAGTGGGTGGTCCTGCCATGGAGGCATGGGTTGGAGGTGCTGCAAGCACAGGGAGTGGGATGGTTTTTGCGCACTGCAGTCCTTAATTCCTGTTTGTGGAGCTCAGGCACTGTGGTGAGGCTGCTAGCAGGGCTTTGGTATCTCATGTGAAATGTAGCTCTTCCTTCTGTTCTGCTACAATTTCTTTCAAGAAAGCCTTCCCTAATAGGTAGTGAGGGAGCATCTTCCCTCCACCGACTCATTTGCAGCTCAGCTGGAAAGAGCGAGGGAAATGATAATAGCAGGGACTGTTTAGTTGTTGCTAGGAGACACACTACTTACGTGATGCAAACTTTTACCTTGGAACCTATAATTAAAACCCAGCAGGGCTTGATCATGTCATAGGTATCTGTTGTATATCTCGGATGTGAGATCAGCAGGGAGCAGTGAAGTGGCAGACATCATAAGACTGTAAGATTAGTTAAAACTGATGTTAAAAAATGCAGTGCAATTAAAACCAGAGTAGAAACCAGACGTTAACTATCCAGAAAGTACAAATGCCATTCAAGGTCTGAAGTTACAGCATTATCTGTTCAGGGCATACTGCTGTATTGTGAAACCATGTAAATATTAACCACTTCTCCTGAGCATTGGGTTAAAGGGAACGCCCTGGTGCTTACTGTTCTTGGTTGCTACTCTGTATAATCAGTTGTTTTTAAAGTCAAGAGATCTTTTTATATTGATAAGATGGTGTTGGGTCAGTGCTGTTGCTTTTGTAGCTGAAGAGGAGCAGTAGGCCATGCCCAGTGGATGTTTGGAATGCTGAGCCTGAGCTTGGAGCTAACACTGAGTTTGAAATAAAGAAAGCAATTGAAGTACTGAACACTTTTCTTTGCTACCTAGGGCTCAATAAGATCCCCATGCAGTTACTCTGGTGTTATGAAATTTAGTTTATATCACTGTACCTGTCATCACTCTGGCATCTGCAGCAGGATCTGGAGAGCAGACAGAAGGCAGGTCACTTGTAAGTAATGTTGACTAAAAAGGGGTTTCTGTAACAGTTTCTACTGAAATGAAGGAAAGAACAGAAAATGCTGTAAGGTGGTGCTGTGAATGAAAGGACCAGTCAGGCTGATGTTGTTCCAAAACAATGTGGAAGAGCCCTGGTTTGGGTGAGCTTGGGCAAATTGGAGCTGTTACACGTGCAATACAACCTGAGTAGCAACTACAAGCTCAAAGGGAGTGGATCCAATCTGTACCTCACTAAACCAAAAGTAAATGGCAAGAGTATTCACAAAACTGTAGAGGTGACTTCATAAAGCCAAACTGATGCAGAAAAATATCCTGCTCCTTCAGACAGCTTCTTGCAACAATCTGATCTTTACACTCAGCAGCCTTAAGCTTGGCTGTATGATGTGTCTGCAAGTAGAGCTGTGGTGTGGCTGCTGTGGCCTTTTGCTAGTCTAGAGCATGACATAGAAAAGCCAGAGCTGGCTTTCCTTTTCTTCTAGCTCAGAATTTGTAGCATGAAGACTTTGTGCAGGCAGGAGTGTGATAGTGCAAAGGATGCCCAATGGACTTCCACTTCCTGCTTTGCTTTTATCCAGGTCTGGATATATCTGGCCTTTGTTCTAATTCTAGACTCTGCCTTTGCTGGACTTCACCATATACTACTTGTTTTTGCTGTGTGTAGGGAGGCATGTTTCTGTATGTAAATGCAGTTTCCTAAATGGTGCTTTTTAGGATGCTGTTCTAATGAACTCCATGTACTGTTTGGCCTCTTTCAAAAGATACAAATACCAGGTGGCACTTATCATCCAAATACAAAATACCAGATATTTTGAACTGCTAGTTCTCCTAAGCTTAGCATTGTACAGCTTCAAGGGCAAGTCACACCATCCTTGGAGCAGTGAGCTCTCAAGAGAGCTGCAGAGCACTGAGTCCTTGGACTTTTCTCTTTCCTCCTGTCTAATGCAGGGCAGGAAGAATGGTGTCTCTGCCTGCAGTGACCTTGGTCACTTCTCTTGTCCTTGATTACCTGGGCATGGGTGCAAGCACAGTATTTAAAAAACATCCATCTTCAGGGTGGGAAATAATCAGCTCTATGTCTTCTGTCTTTCAGATAGTAAAGCTATAGTTGATGGGAACTTGAAGTTGATCCTTGGCCTGATATGGACCCTTATCCTCCACTACTCCATTTCCATGCCAGTGTGGGAAGATGAAGGTGATGATGATGCAAAGAAGCAGACACCTAAGCAGAGACTGCTGGGCTGGATCCAGAACAAAATTCCTTACTTGCCAATCACAAACTTCAACCAAAACTGGCAAGATGGCAAAGCACTGGGGGCTCTTGTTGACAGCTGTGCTCCAGGTAAGTCTTTTGCTCTGTTTTCCTTGCCTGCTGTCCTCATGGCTGCTCTCCTGTTTCCATGGGAGGAGGTTTTCACTGCTGAGCTGGAGGCAGGAATGAAGCTTTTAAGTAAACCCAAGTCCAAAGAGGCCAGCTGTGGGAAGCAGAAAGTTGTGAACAACTTGGCCAAGAGAAATACTGGCCTAAAGCAGAATGTGTGATTGCATTATTGGAGGCACCATGTCTAAGCTCTGCACTGGGTACAAGGGACAAAGGCACAAATACTGGCTCCTAAATTCAAGAAAGACTTGTTCCCACAGCAAGTGCCAACAACCTTTCAACTTCAGGGCTCAGCAGGAGGCTTCGTGTGTTCTCTTGAAACAGGATTACAGAGGGAGCACAAAGCAGCCAGAAGCTGCACACTACCTGAAACTTCAGTGCTTAGTGAGCTGAGGCTGTGTTCCTTAAGGCGAGTAATGTGATGAAGTGTGAATAAAGGCAGTTTCCTTACCTTCTTGTAAAACAGCCTTGCTAGTGCGATTGCTGGTGCTCATCTGATGCAGCCTGGGTCACCATGGCAAGCAGTTGAAATTTTCCTTTCCAAATTTTCTGAGGGAGAGCCAGTGGAAACATAAAGGGTGGCTGGATGTATTCATGCTGACTTTAGAGTCTGTCTTGAGCAGCTTAAATTCAAAGCAGTGCAGTTGTGTGGCTGAGTGAGTGGTAGGCAAGGTGGGTGGGAGTCTTTTTGAACTGGTTGTTACCACCGGCGCCATAAGGGCCCCTGGAGATGCTGGTTGTTGTCTCAAGCATTTTGGTGAGTAGCAGCACTTGCTCATGGTGTTCTGGCTACTTCTGCAAAGTTCTGAATGTCTTCCTACATAGCAGCATAATAAAAGTGGCTGTGCAGTTTGTGCTTGGTTTCTTCAGCTAGGGAATGTCCTTTGCAGATAACATATAATAATCGAAATGTTCTTGCAGGCCTGTGCCCTGACTGGGAGACCTGGGACCCGAAGAAACCTGTTGACAATGCTCGGGAAGCCATGCAGCAGGCGGATGACTGGCTGGGTGTGCCACAGGTGAGGGCCTGCAGGGAGCACAGCAGTTGGCTTTGTACCTGCAACCTTCTGGAACTTAGGTTGCTTGGACACTTCCAAAAGTGACAGTTTACTCATGTGAAGCTGCCGGAGCAAGGGCAAACTGCACAGAAGTGCACTATTACCTTTCGGAGCTCTGGCTGTGAGATTTTTGTGTAGGTGCCTCTCCTGGAGACGGCTGGTGTTGCAGCACATAGGGCAGGGGAAGAAGTGCATGTGTAGTGGTGCCTGCTCTATTAGTCCATGGAGTGAGTTGGTTTCCTGCATTGAATTCCACTGAAGAAAAATTCACTGGGTTAGGTAATTGCCTACAAAGATGATTTTCAAACAGAGAACAATGTGTTTGCAAACTGGCTTGTTCTCATGCTGGTAAGGTTGGACAGAACTGCTGAAGTCTCTGAAGCTGTCAGAGCAGGAGAAGAGTGTGGTCACAAGTTTAACTTAGTAAGCAATGCAATTCAGAGCTGTAGCACATAGGATTATGCATTATTAATTATTTTAGTTTCAACTATCCCTATGTTGAGTTTTGAGAACATAGCTACCATTGCCTTGCCTTACTACAGTTTAGTTTGTCAGTCTCCTGAGAACCCCTAATAATCAAGGCACAAAAAGCCCCAAAACACTTTGGGACTGTAAGGAGCTTCTTAATTTTATTTTTTTTAATTTATTTTTTTTTCCCATGAGATAATAAATGATGTTGTGTGTAACAGAGGGAGTAGAAGTGTAAGGAATTGCATTAACATGTGGGTTGAAATGTAGGACTGACTCTGTGTCATAGCTCTGTTTCTGTGTTGACATGTGGTAACCAAGCACTGGTACAATACACTCCATTACTTTGTCTTTCAGGTTATTACCCCTGAAGAAATTATCCACCCTGATGTGGATGAGCACTCTGTAATGACTTACTTGTCCCAGTTCCCCAAAGCCAAACTGAAACCAGGAGCTCCTTTAAAACCCAAACTGAATCCAAAAAAAGCAAGAGCTTATGGCAGAGGTAAGGACTCAGAGAGCTTAAGCTGCACATTGCATCTAACTCTTCAGAAAGCTGGGTGGGGTTTTTTCCTTATGTTGAACTCCAGACCTACTGTAACTGACTTCAAAGTTTCACTTGTATACTCTTGGTGTGGTGCCTAGTTTCAGAAATTGGTGGATATAGTCCAAAAGACACTCCTAGTTCTAACATATAAATTCCCCTAAGTCTCTGAACCTGTTCTGCAAGCTGCCAGCCTTGCAGTCCACAGCTGGAAGAAGTAGATGATCTGAGGCTAAAACAACCTTGGTGGGAAATTTAAGCTAGCAGTATTGCTACTGAAAGTCATTGATCTAGCAAGGAAATCTTCTTGTGATAAACCAGTCCTTCAAAGAAGAAAAACCCCTTTACATCTGTGTGTCTGAGCAGGCTCTCTCCAGAGGCAGTGTCTCCATTTTCCCAGGCTTGATGGCAGATGTGTCAGGGTAGGCTACTTCTGAGTTATTGGAATTGATCAGTAGGTGTGAATACTTTGCACACACATAAAGGTGTGTTGGTAACCCTTCAAACATTAAATAATGCTGAGCCTTTGTTGCAAAGATTATATTGGAAGGACTTGTCCATAGATGTTTATGCAAATGTAGATCTACATAGGCATTCTTATTTTAACGTCCCTTTAAAATGAATAATTTCCTGTAACTTCTGATGTGGTTCTACTCTAGATTGGAATATATTAATAACAAAATGAATAAAAGATTTTTTATTTTAATATGCTTGGTATGTAGCAAGACATACTGTGTGAATGACTGACCAACCTGCCTCAATCTGTCAAGTCTGGCTTTAGTCATGTTCTATCAAAAACTGGAATGATTTTCTTATCCACTATAATGTATCCAGTGCTGTGGAACCATCGTCAGGGAAATTCTGTATGAGTTCTCATTTAACCAATGAAAGCAGATCTCTGGTAAGAGTAAAATCTGGAAGACGAAATGTAGGCTAAGAAGGTGCTGTGACTAATGCTGTCCTGGCTGAAGCTGTTTTCTGAGGATAAGCAATCTTTCTCCTTGTACTTGCAGAAGGAGGGATATTTAACTCCAATACCACATCCTAATTCTTGTGTGGTGGACTGAAGATACACAGAGTGAATTTATAGCTGTTTAAACTAGATTATAATCTAGGGTTTAGTTTGAAAGACTGAATATCTCAATTGTTAACACCTTATCAGAATGCTCAGATTTCCTAGTAAAAACATGATCTTCCTAGCATTGCTCTCACATTATTGTTTTCTGAAGACAAACAAGTTCAGGAATTCTGTTTTTCACAACCACTTCCTTTATGATCTCTCAGATGTTGCACTTTCCACTAATTGTGCTATGGAGCAGTAGTGCCCACAGTTTTATGAATAAGCTGAGAATTAATTCCCTTACGCAGAAGGGAGTATATGTTTGGGCTAGTCTGGAACCAGCAACTCAGGGAAGTTCTTCCACCCACTCAGTCTGACACCACCAGGACAGGTGTCATGACCTCAGGCTATGTGTTGGGAGATGATGAAACCCTGCTGGTAAGTTCGTGTTGCAGCAGGCCCTGTGCTGGGGAACAAGGAACCTGGTTAGATGTTAAGTGGCAGTGGCATTGAATTGCAGGATTTTCATGGTTTAAAGAGGTTCCTGTGTGCCATTTGTACAATGTTCACACTGGCAAAGTAGCTTGAGCAACTTCCAGAGAGTAATAAATCTAAGCAGTGACTGTACAGCTGAGCTCTGAAATGGAGTAAAATGAGACAGTGTAGGTAAGAGCTGTCTGGCTGAAGTAAGTCTTTCATCCTTGGCTCTAGGGCCATGCCTTTACCAAAAGGCATCCTGAAGTTTCTCTCCTGCCTCCCTGGTTGTCCTTCCTGCTGTGCAGCACCGTTGCAGTGTTGAGCTGTGTGAAGTGCAGCAGCTCCTAAAGAGCAACCAAGGCACATACTTAGCTCGTGGCCGCTGCGGAAGGGGTGTCGTGGAGCAGCCTGGGAAAGCTGATGCTGGGGGTTTGTGTGGGAGTAGGGTTTGGACAGTTGTGGATAGTCTGCAAGCTACCTTTTGAGTTTTGTAACAACAGCTCATGTGCCACTCTGTGTCTGCCTTGCAGGGATTGAGCCTCATGGGAACATGGTGAAGCAGCCTGCTATCTTCACAGTAGACACAATCAGTGCTGGGCAGGGAGACCTGATGGTCTTCATAGAGGATCCAGAAGGAAACAGAGAGGAGGTACGTATGTTAAATATTTTTTGTGGAGAAGTAAAGCTGGTCTGAACACTGAAGGTTTTGCAGTAACCTTCATCTTTCACAAGTAAGGTCTTAACAGATAACTAATCTAAAAAGAGGTTGCGAAATATCATCTATCAGAAGTGCAAGCCTCAAGTTTTCCTCATAATTGCCTTACTGAGTGAGCTTGAAAAAAAATGTCATTATCTGCAACTGAGCAACACAGCTCCAATGTCCAGTAGTTGCAGTGCTTTAGCTTGACTGGCCAAGTACTTTCTGACATGCTTTTAGATAACACACATCACTAAATCACTGTTTGCCCTTACTCATTCTGCAAGAATGGCTAAAGCAGCTATTTAGATGCCATGAATCATTTTAAGTAAAAATGCTGGTTTTTATGTTTATAGAAACTTCTCATCCGAGTGCTCCACTTGATCATGTTACAACATTCCAGAAAAATACAGCTGTACATTGGACTTAATGTCTCCTCAGCTTTGGCTGCGTTACTAGAGCAATTAGTAGCAAAGGAAGGGCCAGGATGGGGAGAAGGTAGTTTGCTTCATCCCATCTGAAGACAAAACCGATGGGGTTTTTTCCATACAAGTAGATGGAGGTAGTGAGGATCCCAGCTCCCACAGCAGCATGTCTCTTAGGTTGCTGACTCTGAAAATAGTTTGCAGTATCAAGAAGAAAAAACACCCTAGAAAAAACGCCTAGGCTGGCGTGCATCAGCACAGCTCAGTGATGGATGTTTTCTCTCCTAGGCAAAGATAACACCATCCAGTGACAAAAACAAGACCTATTCTGTTCAGTATGTGCCAAGGGTTACTGGACCTCACAAGGTAGGTTGTGCGTCAATAACCAGTCTTCTCTTGCTAAATGTGCTGCTCTACTGGTTGTTAAGGTGAAGGAAAGGTAGCCTGCTGTGACCTTAATTCTGCATCTGGACTATTGGGCTGCCCACCTCCCCAGGGGAAAGGAGGGGTATGTTGGGAGAAAGTGTGTGGGTGTTTGGTATCTAGTGCTGCTTCTGGCTCTTCTCACCTGGGGCCCCTTCTTGCAGCTCATGAAGCCAGTTTTTCTGGGTTGTCAGAGAGACACAGAGCAAAGTACCAGGTTGTTTCTAAAAGGTTTTCTTTGTTGATAACCTTGTATACTGTAGGGGTTTTGCAGAGAAGGTCCTTCACCCATCTCTGTCCCCAGACACCTGCAGAAGCATGTTTATGGGTGATCCCATTGCTTGGCACTTGCCTGAGTGACTGGTCCCCACAGTCAGTCTGAAAAGCTAAATACAATTCCTGCTGCTGCTTCATTGCTGGGTGATGATCTGCCTCTTCTTGGCGCATCCAGACTCAAGCATCCACACTGGTGTAGCTGACATCAGAATCAGCAGCATTGTAAGGAGGTGGTCAGCAGTTAACAGGACATCATCATGGACAGGATGAGGGCTGTAGGATGGATGGTCTCACTTCTAAGGCTCTCTGAGCTAGGAACAGAGGCACCTGACCCCATGTCTGTCTTTGTGGTGGTGACATTGAGCTCTGCCTCTGCCTGGTGGGTTGAAGCTGACATTGTCTGTCTCTAGGTTTCAGTCCTATTTGCTGGGCAGCACATCTCAAAGAGTCCATTTGAAGTGAACGTGGACAAAGCCCAGGGAGATGCAAGCAAAGTAACAGCAAAGGGACCAGGACTGGAGGCAACAGGGAATATTGCCAACAAGCCTACCTACTTTGACCTCTACACAGCAGGTAAGCAGGATGAACAAGTGCTGAGATCTTGTGACTTACTGAAATGTGAGGAGAACCTAAGCTTTGGAGGAACAAACAAACTGAAAAGTGGATGAGAATTTGCAGCCCCATCAAGTTTAGAGGTGAAATTATAGCCAGGCTGTTCTGGAGGCTTAGCTGTGTAGGAAATGCTTGAAGTATAGAGCTGAGCTGGGGCAGAAAGTTGCTAAGCAATATTCAGAAATTTGTCATGAACTTGCTGAATGGCAGCAGGCAAGTTCCTGGCTGATTTCTTCCCCCCAGCTCATTTTGAACAGGAATGTGAAATGCTCATCTCTGAAGGAGGAACTGAGAGTAAACTGTAAACACACAATGTGTTCTGTATTTAGCTTTACAGAAAGAATCTGCCACAGTGCTACTTTGAGTTCATACTTCAATGATGAACTGGTTTCAACCTCCATTGTAATTATTAGGGAGCTACTATCTTCATTAGGGCATCTCCATCATGTGAGTTGTCACCTTCTGTTCAGCCAATGCTGTAGCCTAGAGGAGTGAGTCAATAAGATGCTACAAATGCTAATTTGTTTAGAACAATATGAAACTACTTAGGGCAGTTACTTGAAGTATTTGAACAACAAAATATGCTGAGTAGCATAATTTGAATTGCCTTCTACCTGAGGGTGCTTAGAAATAAAATTAAATGTGGTTATAGTGAGGGGAAGTGTTGTGTTCAGCCTCTAATTGGGAGAGGGAGTGGTCTGAATCATGTAAAGACTTGTCTGGCTTCTAGAAGTGTCTGTGAAACTATTTTTGTTACATGATGAGTTGAATAAAATGTGAAAGAAACAGGTGTCTGAACAAAAGTGAATATGTATAGTCCAGCAGAGAAGGAGCATCATGCACATTGTCCATGCTCTTAATCCAAACAGCTTCAAAGCTTGAGAGATTGAACTGATTGGTGAAGCTGTGGTCTAGTCTGTGATGGAGGCACTACAGGGCAGTGGCAGTAGAATGATGACCAGGCTATGTGTTCAGTGTTATAATAGTGTTGAGGAACCTTATGGGGGGAGCAGCAGAGCCCTGTCAATTTGGTGGCTTCGTGGACATGCTACTATCCTGTCTTGCCCCCTCCCTGCTTGAGTTGTCTGGCTGTTGTCATCAGAAGCTGAACATTTAGGCTGTGCCCAGAAATGGTAGCAGAGGACAGCTGTCTGGGCTCAGCTGGCTGTGATCCTAAACACAGAGTGTGTTGCTGTGGGGAAGCCAAGGCTCAGCTGGGCTTGTTTCCTTTGCAGGTGCTGGAGTGGGTGACGTGATTGTGGAAGTGGAGGATCCTCAGGGGAGGAGCCTTGCTGAAGTTGTGGTAGAAGACAAAGGCAACCAAGTCTATCGTTGCACCTACAAACCTGTTCAAGCTGGTCCTCACATTGTCAAAGTGACTTTTGCTGGGGAGGCAATTCCCAAAACTCCTTGCACTGTTCTTGTTGGAGAAGGTATACTTTTTTAAAAAATGCCCCTAAATATAGATGGCCACTTTTCTTCCTGGGCGTGATCACAGAATGTGGGCATTCTCTGTACCTTTCAGCATTCTTGGACCTGTTTCAATGGGTCACTGGGGTATTCATAGGGTCTCTCTAACAGTAATAAGGCTTTTATTGCTAGAGTTTCCTTTCTGCCTAGACTTCTGAACATTAAGCTGCCCTTTGTATTTTTTTGTTGTTGGTTATTTATTTTTTTTTGCAGCTGTGCAGTGTCTTGCTGTTCTCCACCTTTGTTCCTCAAATTACTATATTTACAGTTTTCCTCCTTAACTGACACCTAACTTGCTTTCTGTTCCATCCTTACGTGCTCCTACGCTTTTAGATCTCTGCTCATCTCTCCTGAGCTACCCTCCATTTGTGGAATTTTGGACTTCACTGCTAATGGCTTCATAGTTGGTAAGAGGTGTGCAGGATGCTCAGTCATGTTTGCTTTTCGGAAGCTTCTAGCCTGCAGCTTGTCCCAGCTAAAAGGGAGTTTGGTTTTGTTGGGGCTGGGGAAGAAAGTTGCAAGCGAACTGAAGCGGCGTGTGACCCAGTCAGTGAAACTTGCCTGACCACAAGCTGCCTGACTCAGTTGTGTATGGACTTGGTGAGCTATTCCCACCCCATGTTGGGCACACTCCTCTATGCTCCCACCGAGTGTCCTGAGCTCACAGATGGCATGTGACCTTCACTTTCACCCTCAGTGTAGGATGGGGAGCAATGTTGGCTGCTGTAGGGGTGAGGGTAAAACTTGTCAGCTATTGAAATGAGTGAAAACCTAATGAGCTGCTTGGCAGATTTGTGCTCCAGCTGCAAGCACGGTGTGTTTTGGGGAAATGCATGTTGGGTTTACACTGCTGGGAGGCTGTGATTATTTATTTTTAAGTCTCTTCAAACCCTTCAGGTCTCTGGAGTTGAAGACCACACAATAGCTGGGATTGTGTAAAGAAAACTGTTCTTAAGTGCGTGTTACATTTTTATGTAGCCACTTTGCAGGGCTGGAGAAGCACTTGGAGTAAAGGGGGGGGGGCAAGTGTAACCTTAATCTCAGCCATACCTTGCCTACTGCCCCTACCCAAGGCTGCTTCTGTCTGCAGAGGCTTGATGGCTCTGCTCCTGAAACTACAAACTGCAAAGAGCAGAGGGTTTTTACACGACATCTCTTACCCAAGCATGTGCAGAACTCAGAGTTGCTAATAGCAGTTACTCCAGTTATGTGCTTCTGAAAGAACAGCACATGGGGGTTAGCTGCAAAGGGAAACTTCACCCCATGCTGCAGCACACCTCTTGGTGCAAGAAATGTCAAGAAAATTGTGCCTAGTACAGTAAATAGCCATGACATTTTTTTTGTATTGATAACTGGCATCAGAGCTTTAGTGTTCGCTTTAATTCTGAAAAAGGGCCCTTGCAGAGGGGCAGCACCCAGTGCTGTTGCCCAAAGCCCATAGGGCATAGCCTGTGGCTGGGCAGACTCCTGCCTGTCTGCCCTAGCGCTGTAACATAAAAACTTGTGCTGAAAACTAAGCTGTGGTGTCCCTAAGTCAACATTAAACTGAAGGCTGTTCCAGGCTGGCTAGGCTTAGTGTACATGGAGAATCAAAGGTGATATTGATGTCTGAAATTCCCTTGCAGCCTGCAACCCCAACGCGTGTCGCGCCACGGGCCGCGGGCTGCAGCCCAAGGGCGTCCGCATGAGGGAGACGGCCGAGTTCAAGGTGGACACCAGAGCCGCGGGGAGCGGAGACCTCGGGGTGACTGTGAAGGGGCCCAGTAAGTGCTGGGGTGGATTGGTGCTGGGGATGTGCTTTGGGGAATTGGAGAACGCAAAAACCAAGAGCAGTATGGAGATGGGGGGCTGATCGGAACTAGTGGGTTTGGTATCACCATAAAAAGCCAGATTTCAGAAGGGTTTTTTGAGACTCTTAGTGGCTTTAGGTCTCTCCAGTTTAATGCATATGGGTATAGCAAAACTGGGAAAATTCAGGCGTTTGCCTGCCATGGCCTCCAGGCATCATGGGTGTCTCCTCTGCCCTGAGGGAGCAAGTCAGGGTGGAAATCCTGCTCTTGTAAAGCTGGGAACGGCTGCACTGCTGGCTGTGCTGGCTGGGCATATAAGCAGAGGAGGAGAGGGTGGAGGGAACGTGTCCCCAGGTCCTGTGCTGTGTGCAGGGCTCAGGCTGTGCCCCCCTGCCTGGCCCGGCAGCTCCCCCCCGGCCGGGACAGCACTGAAAGGTGCATTGTGTTGCCTTCACCTCCTCCACACACACAGGGCTCCCACTGTGTGCCTTAATGCCTTTGGGGAGGGGGGAAAAAACAACAAGGCAACAGACCTATCGATATAAATTGTAATGTATTAAGCTTTTCTCCCTAAATTCTTCATCTTGAAGAAAATGAAAAGTAGGCATTCCCTGCATACTTGTGGTTGCAGAGTCTGACAAATGTTAAGCTTTTTTGTTTTAACATATGACATCCTGTGCTGTGTGCAGGGCTCAGGCTGTGCCCCCCTGCCTGGCCCGGCAGCTCCCCCCGGCCGGGACAGCACTGAAAGGTGCATTGTGTTGCCTTCACCTCCTCCACACACACAGGGCTCCCACTGTGTGCCTTAATGCCTTTGGGGAGGGGGGAAAAAACAACAAGGCAACAGACCTATCGATATAAATTGTAATGTATTAAGCTTTTCTCCCTAAATTCTTCATCTTGAAGAAAATGAAAAGTAGGCATTCCCTGCATACTTGTGGTTGCAGAGTCTGACAAATGTTAAGCTTTTTTGTTTTAACATATGACATGCATCATACTGCAGACTAAGAAAATAAAACACAAGGGAACCTATTAAGTCTGGTAACTTAAAATACTTTCTGCTGTATTTCTTCTGGAAGTGTTTGCTGTCTTTGTCCTAGAGGGCAACTAGAACTAACTTCCCTTATAACCTGACCTTTTTTTTTTTTTTTTTCCTGGTGGAAGAGATTTATTCTTGCAAGCTAAAATAAATACAAGAAAACATGAGCTTGTCTGAATAATTGAATGCAGGATGGAAGCTGTTAAGTTTAATGCTGAACTGATCTTTCAACAGAGGGCTTGGAGGAGCTGGTGAAACAAAAAGGCTTTATGGATGGTATATATGCATTTGAATATTATCCAGCTACCCCAGGGAAATACGTTGTCACAATTACATGGGGTGGGCACAACATCCCAAAAAGGTGAGTTACAAGCAGCTAATTTATTTATTCATTTTTTGAGTTTTTGTGCCCTTTGGCAGACTGTGTAATTGAGGGACCTTCAAAGGAATGTTGACCTTTGAGAAACTCTGGGGGGACAAAATTAGTGGCAAAAGAGGTTGCTGTGAGTTCATCTACAGCCTGTTTTAGGGTTGCAGCAGCTTATATTGGGAAAGATTTGAAGGGTGATTTGTATCAGTCTTGCTAAACCCAAGATGATGAATACAAAAACACTAGAAAACTTTGGTGGATCATGCAGCTTGGACTTCACTGTGAGTCTTTGAAGGGATTTGTTATTGTAGTGTCCAGGGCTACAGTGAGCAGTGCAAGCCAAGTATTTGACACTCAGGATTTGTGGAGCAAGATGTAAGCACGTGATGGGTTGGATGACCTCTCTGCTAGAAAGACAACATGCTGGGCACTGTGCCACCACATATAGCATCTATTAATTTGGGAAATCCAATGTAAAGCCTTGTTTAAAAGCCTGGGAAAAAACACGGGTGCTGTATTTGTCCTCCTTTTGAATCCCATGCTTTGATTTTTCTCCTCTAGTCCCTTTGAAGTTCAAGTGGGTCATGAAGCAGGTCCTCAGAAAGTGCGAGCCTGGGGGCCAGGACTGCATGAGGGGATTGTGGGCAAATCGGCTGACTTTGTGGTAGAGTCCATTGGCACAGAAGTTGGCTCTCTTGGTATGTTACTTCACTTAGTTTGCCTGAAATATTTATATATTGCAATGCTAGCAACGAAGTCATGAGAAACAATAGCTTTCCCAGCAGTAAAAAACCATGTCTGTAAGATGTTTTGGTCTAAACACAAACTTCTGTCAGAGTATGAAAGGCAAGTCCTAAAGGCAGGAATGTGTGTGATGAGGAGTGTTAGTCTGTGGTTTTGTGGGATGAGATCCACAAAGGAATGATGGATTATCTCTTATATTGCTGATGAAGGATGATAGAGACCATCAGGCGTGGTTATGGCTAATAAAGTGCACTTTGGAGAAGTGGTGTCAAATTAGCAGCTACCACAAACCTAATGCAAGGAATCTGCTTTTTCCTTTTTCAGGCTTTGCCATAGAAGGCCCTTCTCAGGCTAAAATTGAGTGTGATGACAAGAACGATGGCTCATGTGACGTGAAGTATTGGCCCAAGGAGCCCGGTGAATATGCTGTGCACATCATGTGTGATGATGAGGACATAAAAGACAGCCCTTACATGGCCTTCATCCGACCAGCTTCTGGAGACTTCAACCCGGATAAGGTGCTGTCTGAGTCACTCATGGCATAACATGTCTTTGATGTAACTACAGTAGAGATGTTTCTGAAAGCTTCTGGTAACAGACTTGACCCTTAAGCTGCCCCTGTGTAAAGCTCCAGACTTGCCATGTTCCAGCCAGATATTACTCAGTTTTTTTTCTAATAACCCTGTTGTGGTTTTTATTTTAATGTAATGAAAACTTGCTGAGTTAGACCAAATTCTCGGCTTTCACTCTAGCCTCTATTTGTATCCCAAGCTTCATGGGTTTTGTGGGAAGGGAAAGGACATAGTTTTACTTCCCTTTCTGAACTGCAAGCAAAGATTCTTAATATATTTTCTTTTAGGTGAAGGCTTATGGCCCGGGCTTAGAGAGGACTGGCTGTATAGTGAACAATCCTGCCGAGTTCACAGTTGAAACCAAGGACGCTGGGAAAGCACCTCTGAAGATGTATGCACAGGTAAAAAGCCAAAGGCAGCTATGTGAAACTGCAACAAAAGGGCTTTAATACTGTTGAGAAGAATGCCCGAAGTATTTCTGTGTACTTACACACCACTTAATTCTGAGGATGTGTAATTCTTTCAAAGCCCTGTGCTTTGATCTGTGTAATGTAGTCAGGCAACAAACCTAACTCAAGACAAGGTGACTTCTCCCCGGCATATGAAATACGTGGCTTTGCTTCCTTACTTGGAGTCTCCTCAGAAAAGCAAGCTGTAATTTCCTGGAGTTGTCATTTGGAAGCACCCGAAGTGTCTCCAAGCCTGAGAATTTCAGGGGAGCTTGTTAATATACATGTTGTAGGATGGTGTTAAGAATGAGCAGGTGTTAGTGATGAAGGCTTACAGCAGAGTAATTTGCATGGTTCTTCAGTATTTCTGAGATGCAGTTCTGGAAAGAAAAATCCCACGTTTTGCAACAGTCTTGAGCTGTTCAAACTATACAAGCATTTTCAAAGTACCTAAACCTTCTGCTTTTTAGGATGGGGAAGGAAATCCTATCGACATCCAGATAAAGAGCAAGCCTGATGGTGTGTTTGCCTGTTCCTACCTGCCAGTTAAACCAATTAAACATACAATTTCTGTTGTCTGGGGAGGAGCCAATGTGCCCAATAGCCCATTTAGGGTAAGTACTGAGATGGGTGTTACTCGTTGTAGCCAAATAGGACATTTGTGCTCACAACTGCTTGTCATTACAACTAGGATGATACAACCTTCTGTGAACTTCAAGGAGGTGTGCTCTTCTGCTCTCTTTTTAGGAATGTTATCAATTTTAAAACAGGCTTTCTGTTTTTACAAGCTCACATATCAGATGTCTCCTGTCAGCTGCAGCCAGAGGTGGGGGTGGTCAGGGCAATTCACTCTTACCTTGGTATGCTTTCCTGTAGTCTCTGTCCAAGCAATGCTCTGACTTGACTGTGCTTTCGAGTGTGACACAGATATGTGATTCTTACCCTTGTAAACCTGTGTAGGTCCTTATAGGTCAGGGAAGCCATCCTCAGAAAGTGAAAGTGTTTGGACCTGGCGTGGAGAGAACTGGCCTGAAAGCAAACGAACCGACCCACTTCACTGTTGACTGCACGGACGCAGGAGAAGGTAAAGGCAGGCTGGGCTGTTGCTGTGGCATCAGAACCACAGGTCATGCAAGAGGGGTAATGTACTGCTTCATGCTGGTTCTCCTTGTTTAATGGAAAAACCTTGGGAAGCAGAATGTTGCAAAGAATTGTGATGTGATCTGTTACATCTATTAACACGGTGGCTTGAACAACTACTGGAGAAATGGGAATGTGCTAGCTGTTTGGCTAGCAATGTCTAGTCCAGTAGCAAGATTTCCCTTTGCTTTTCCTAGGTGATGTCAGTGTTGGAATTAAGTGTGATGCTCGTGTGGTCAGCGATGAGGAAGAAGACATAGATTTCGACATCATCCACAATGCTAATGATACCTTCACAGTGAAATATGCCCCACCAGCTGCTGGGCGCTACACTATTAAAGTGCTTTTTGCAGGAGAGGTTTGTAATCTTTGCTTTACAGCCTGATGTTTCTACAGGCTGTTTATCTGGTCTTCCATCACTGAGCACGTGCCAGTTCACATCTGGCTGTGGCAGTTTGCAGCTGGTTCCTTCAGTTTCTGCTCGTGCGCTTTGTGGTCACTGTTTCTAAAAACACTTCTGTAGTACTTGAAGGTACAAATGAAAGAGGTTGACTGGAAACATTTAAGTTGAAACATGTGATGAAACATGTTGATTTGGCATAATGAGCATGGCCTTGGTGATGCGTCAAAGCTGCTTCCTAAAGGATAGAAAACCTAAGTGACTCTCCAAGGAACATGGGAATAAAAATAAGTTTTTCCTTAAAAAAGGGAGCGAGGCCCCTTCGAGCTGTCTAGCTGTCAACTTTGCCTTTGACTTTGAATGACACTGCTCAGTAAGGCAGAACAGAGTGCTTAAGTGAGGCAAAAATTTTCTCAAGATGCTTCTGGAATTAAAGCAGAAGTATCTTAAAATTATTATCTGTCTTGTTTTGGCTACTGAGGAATTACCTGGTTATGTTTAGAGCTGTGTTTCTGTTGCAGGAAATTCCTGCCAGCCCGTTCAGAGTTAAAGTGGACCCCTCACACGATGCCAGCAAAGTGAAAGCTGAAGGACCTGGGCTGAACAAAACTGGTGAGAGCAGGGTTGAGATGGCATGGGCAGTGCTGGTCTGTGTGAGGCTGTTGTGGTATAGCTGCTGCCTGGCTGAGCATTGCTGGGATTCAGCGAAGCAGACCTGGATATGGCGAGGCAGGGCGCCAGGCAATGGGAAATGGCTCCTCTTCCTTGGCATTTTGCTTGACTGGGATTTATATGTACCAAATACTTCTTGGGAAGAGTTTCTGTGTGTGAGCTCTGCATAAATTAGAATTAACATTTTTCTGCAGGCGTGGAAAATGGCAAGCCAACACATTTCACTGTGTTCACCAAGGGAGCTGGAAAAGCGCCGCTGGATGTGCAGTTCAGCAGCCCGGTGCCAGGAGAGGCAGTGGTAGATTTGGATATCATTGACAACTACGACTATTCCCACACTGTTAGGTACACTCCAATACAGCAGGTAGGTCCAAGTCCTTTAGGAATACAAGAGTGAACTAACTAGTGTTGCTGTAGTGGCCTGACCTCCCTCCCTGGTACCTGTGCACAGAGGAACAAGCTGATAAAACTTGCCAGGGTGTCCTGTTTCCCAGGATCCCTAAAGCCTGCAGGAAAATTTGGTTTGGAAAGCAGAAATGTAATTTTCTGGTGTAGTTATTGATGGTTTGTCTTTGTTTTCTTTTCTGGGAGCAAGTGAGATATTGAAGCAGCAGCACACAGCTCATGTTGTCATTCCACATCTTATCAGTCAAAGATGAAAGGTAGCAAACCTTCTCAGGATCCAAAATAGCACTGGCTGCTGCACCAGCTGCTCTGGGCTGCCACTGTCCCACAAAGTCAGGGCTGTGGTGTGCACCCTGTCAGCAAGCTGCTGTTGTCAAAGGAGCTGTAGAGCCAACCAGAGCAGGGACAAAAGGTGCAGCTTTTGAGTGGTGGTGCAGCAGCTCCCCAGCAGGGAAGAGATCGAGTAGGTGCTGGGGAGGGAAGCTGGGCTGCAGATTAAACATGTCAAAGTATTTGTCAGTATTCAAGGTTTTCCCTTGGGCTGTGGAAACCAATTCAGTCTCACTTGCTTTGGTTCACAGGTGATTCCTAACAAATCTATTTAAGAGCTGAAAGTGGAAGCTGCTAATAACTAGAAGTGTTTTTCCTTAAACTGTGCTTGCGTGTTTGTAAAGGGCAATTAAATGCCCAAATGCCCAAATCTCATGTATTTCTGAAGACATAGGTGCTGTAGCACTGACATGGAAGTGTTTTGCTACTCTTCTGCTGAACAAACACAAGAGCTATTTGGTCATCTGCACCAGCTTCCTTGAATGTAGCTGTGTAAAAGTAGACTGGTATGGAGGACTGCAGCCTTATTTGTCAAGATACTGCTGGATTAGCATTCTTGGAAGCACCGTAAAGCTAGTGTTTGTTTTTGGATAAAGAGTTGCATGATCTCAGGATGTGGCTGGTGTGCCTGTTTGGAGAGGCTTTTGCTTGTTCAGTCAGGGTTGGTATGCAGAAAGGAGCAAGATTGTCTGAATGCCACGTGTGTGAGCAGTACCAGGTTGCTGTGTTTCACATGAAAAGCAGTGGTGAAACAAGCCAGGATGCCCAAACTGGGCTTCTTGCTCGTGTTTCCCATCTGGAATAGTACTTTGAGTCACAGAGGTGCTGTGGACTTAGAGGAGATGCTTGCAGATAGCAGTGGCAGGAAAGCGATGGTTAAAAAGAGGAGATGAACGTAGACCACACAGTAATTAGAGTAGCCTTGTTGACCCTCCAGGCTGTGAGCACATAGGTTGTTCCTGGGGGATTTGTAAGCAGTAGCTTATGAATGAGATGCTGAACTCTTCAGGACAGGGGCAGGATGGACTAGGTAGTTAAATTCTTGAGGAGCTGTGTCACCAGCAAAGGAGTCTTGGTTTAATGCTGTTTACTCAGGCTTATCTATCTCGCAGTGTTGCTACAGCTACCCATGTGTGTGTTTTCTAAAAACAACCAAGAATAATCATGGAAGCTATTCACTAGCTTGCATGAAACATCCATGATTATTTCACTTGGGAACTGAACCGGACAAGAGCGAAAAGTAAGCAAACAGTGAATACAGCTAAAATATGGACTGTGGTAGGAGAGAATAAAAGGAGCACACATCATGGGCTGGAGCTTGCCATGGCTGTGTGGTATTCCAGCCAAAATACACAAGAGCATTAATCTTTCTGACTTGTAGAGCTTAAAACCCTGGTACTGCAGATGCTGTAATAATACAGCCTCCTTGCAGGCTTGGCTTGGGCCTGGCCTCTCTGTGCAAGGGACTGGGATACCTGGTCTGTAGCATGGGGTTGTTCATTCAGCTATTGGGACTGAATGCTGGGAGCTTGGGAGCCAGCCTGAGCTGGAGGTTTTGCCAGGCAGCTTGAATATAGTCTTAATAAGAAGTTGGAAAGAACTGTCTTTTTCTCTCTTCCTGCATTAAATAAAAACCATTTAATTATTTGAAGGGCTGCAGTGGGATGAGAGCTTGGGAGTCTGTAAGCCAGTAAGTTTGGCTCTGGTCAGCTAAAATGGATTAGGTGAAATGGTTATGTGCTGCTTGGATGTTAGTGTGTCTGTATGAAGTGAGGAACTGTGCTAACTTGTAAATTCTGTAACTAGGGTCCAATGAAGGTTTTGGTAACTTACGGTGGTGATCCTATCCCTAAAAGCCCTTTCACTGTGGGCGTTGCTGCTCCGCTAGACCTCAGCAAAGTTAAACTCAATGGACTCGAAAACAGTAAGTACCTCTGGGCTGGCAGCCCTGTAGTCTGTCTCTGAAGTCTCTCCTGGATCTGGGCAATAGCCAATGTGTCCTGCTGGAACCCAAGAGCGCAAAACAACCTTCTTTTTAACTTGCTACAGTTGAGGATCAGCCAGCTCCAACTTTATAGCTTGACCACTCTGATGTAGCTGGCTCTCCTGAGGACTGAATTTCAACCTGAACACTTTTTTTTCCTCAAAGATTGTTTGGGTTTAGTCTCTTGTGGTGAACAGAGCTGGACTCTTCACCAGGCCAAGCACCTGCTGATGAAATCTGGTTTCCTTGGGGCTAGGTGGCTGTTTGTTCAAATATATGTCACTGCTACACAGAAGAATGTCTTTCTTTGTTTTCTGAAAGTGGAAGGACTTAGGGCTGTGAAATATTGTTGCATTCCTGACATGAACCTCTGATACTCTCAGCCTGCATCTTCCAGGCTTATTTAGCACTGTAGTTTTGTAGCTGCAGTTAAGCAAGGCACTTGTTTGTTTTTTTTGGTTGGTTTGACAGGGTTTTTTTTGCGTACAGAGGGATGCAGACTGAGCAGGGCTGTGCCAGTGTTTGCTCACTTGGTGTATGCATGCGAGGTTTCTTGGAGCACTGTCTGTAATATGGGTTTTCTCTTTTTCAGGAGTGGAAGTAGGAAAGGATCAGGAATTTGTAATTGACACCAAAGGAGCTGGTGGGCAGGGTAAACTGGATGTTCGTATTTCCAGCCCTATGAGGAAAACTGTGCCATGTCTGGTGGAACCTGTTCTGGGTAAGGAGTGCAGCACTGCAAAATACATCCCAAGGGAAGAAGGCCTGTATGTGGTGGATGTGAGTTATGATGGCAATCCAATCCCAGGCAGCCCCTACACTGTGGAGGCCACACTACCTCCAGACCCCTCCAAGGTAAGTGAATGGTTTAGAGCTGTAACAGCAACTGATACCTGAGAATGGAATCATGGGCTACTGCCTGAGACCTGGCTTTGTTTTGGCCAAGCCAGACTCAGGAACATTGTTATTCAGAGTGCTGAGTTGTTCCTTTTGCAGGCTCCATGACTCATGGAAGTAATTCCTATAACACTGTACTTGAAAAAGCATTGAACTAAATAAGAATACTGCAAAGCATCCTACATAGTGTGACAAATAGGAGTATTACTCCTAAATGAGTAGAAGTTGGCCTCATCAACATCTTGTCTATAGTAACTGAGATACTCCTTTCTAACAAAATAGATTTCAAGGAAAATATGTTTACAGCTATAAAATATTTTAATGTTTCTACCTTTTCTAACCCATGGCTATATTAAGCCACCTATGGTGAGTATGAATATCCTTGCCTAGAAACCTCTGTGGAGGAGAGATAGCAACTTTACAGAAGAACTGAGAGGAGTTGCTTTCTGTGTATTTTTAAGAGCTGGTTCATTGAGTTTCACATACAAACAAGTCTAACTAGGCAGTCTGCTGTCAGTAACATGAAAAAATGAGTGTAGCTCAACTGCATATTTTCTTCTAGGTAAAAGCTCACGGTCCAGGTCTTCGAGGGGGCCTTGTCGGAAAACCAGCCCAATTCACAATAGATACCAAAGGGGCAGGAACTGGAGGTTTGGGTTTGACAGTAGAAGGTCCATGTGAGGCTAAAATTGAATGCTCCGACAACGGTGACGGAACCTGCTCTGTCTCCTACCTGCCTACAAAGCCTGGAGAGTATTTTGTAAACATCCTCTTCGAAGAGGTTCACATTCCTGGTTCACCGTTTAAGGCAGACATAGAAATGCCATTTGATGTTTCTAAAGTTGTTGCCACGGGCCCAGGTCTGGAACGTGGTAAAGTGGGTGAGGCTGGGCTGCTGAACGTCGACTGCACGGAAGCAGGTCCTGGGGACCTGCGGGTGGACATGGTGTCAGATTCTGGTTCTAAAGCTGAAATCCAGATTGATGATAACAAAGATGGGACCTATGTTGTAACTTATGTGCCACTCACAGCTGGCATGTACACAATCAAGATGAGATACGGAGGAGAGCAAGTGCCTAAATTCCCAGCTCGGGTCAAAGTGGAGCCAGCTGTGGACACAAGCAGAGTTAAAGTGTTTGGACCAGGAGTGGAAGGGAAAGGTGAGAATATTTGTTGTTATCAGTTTGTAGAGCTTGTGGTCTTTTATCCTGCACAGAACGTTCTGCCCATTAAAAGCTGTAATAGCCTTGCATGTACCTATGGTGACCCTCAAAGAGGGATGTTTTGTTGTGTTCCCAAATTAGTTGTTTATCATGCTGGTTCACAAAATATTTTATCTTTGGAAATACACATGGTTCTTGGAGTGACTCTTCAAAACATATCCTGCAGATGTCTTCCGAGAAGCTATGACTGAGTTTACTGTGGATGCTCGACCTCTAACAAAGGCTGGTGGTGACCACATCAGCACACAGATCACAAGCCCATCTGGCTCCCCTACTGACTGTCTCATCCAAGACAATGCTGATGGAACCTATTCAGTGGAATACACACCGTTTGAAAAGGGTAACCTCTGGTTTGGTTGTTTTTCACTTGAGAGGGGGAAACCAAGAGCAAGCAGCTCTTCTGACACTTTCATTTGGCAAACTGCTGAGATCTGCCAGTAACTTGTTGGCATCTTAGCAAGATTTTTGCCTGTGGAGGAGCTAATTTGGCAGGGAAGTAACTTCTTAACTTGAAGAACTGACTTACAGTAACTTGGCTTCAGAACAAGTGTGTAGATGACATGTCCATTATGAAACACTAGTGAAATCTTGTGAAATGCAGCAGGAAGTTCTTACCATATACTGACATTGAAGTCTGTAGCATCTTGTAGAAGAGATGGTAAATGATGAGAATATTTAGGGAATTCAGGACATGTTTTCTTCCTCTTAACAGGCCCACACACAGTCAGTGTAACATATGACGGGGTTCCTGTGCCAAACAGTCCCTTCAGAGTGAACGTGACCGAGGGCTGCCATCCATCGCGTGTGAAGGCACAAGGACCTGGTCTCCAAGAAGCTTTCACAAATCAGCCAAATGCCTTTTCAGTTGTCACCAGGTAACTGGGCTTACATCATCCTTAAGGAGTATTTGGCAGAGGGAGAAGTGTAGCGGGCTGTGCGATTCAGGATGCTAAATCCAGTACAAAGGTTTATAAACAGGCCGAGCTGTGTCCTTCTGATTACTGTGTGTGCTACCTCATTGAGTACTGAGCACTCTGCTCTGCAGAGATTAGGAGCTGATAGTGGTTGAAGATAAAATTCAGTGAAAATGCAAGTGAGGTTTTGCTGAGCAGCTTTGCGTGCCAGAGCATGCTGGAGGCTGGGCAGCACAAGTCAGGTTGCTGTGTTTCCAATAAGGGTAAAAGTGCAGCCAGAGCATGTGAAGGCCATGAAGCTGCTGTTAGCAACAGGCAATTCTAACAGTGTGTGGTTTTGTCTTGCAGAGGGGCAGGAATTGGTGGTCTTGGAATAACTGTTGAAGGACCTTCAGAGTCTAAAATTAGTTGTAAAGATAACAAGGATGGGAGCTGCAGCGCTGAGTATGTTCCTTATGTTCCAGGAGACTACGATGTTAACATCACATATGGGGGAGAGCATATTCCTGGTAAGAGTGTTTGGAGCCTTTCAGAGGAGGGAAGTTGTTGAGCTGAGAACTCGGTGCCTTGGCTGCATCTCATTTGTGCTAAGGGATGTTGAGGTTTTGACTTTCTGCTGTACTGGGAATTCAAGCAGAAACATCATTTGTATTTGTTCCTCACACCCAACAGGGAAGTGTGGAGTGCTGTGTGGTAGTTCTGGGGAACGGCTGCAGTCTCTTCTAATTTCTGAATTGGTCTCTGCGGGGAGGTGGAGGAGCATCATTGAGACTGTAGCACCCACAGGGGTGCAAAAGAGTGGGTACAGGTGGGTGGGATAGGAAAAGGGATGATAGCCCTTCATAAATAACTGGTATTACACACAAGTGGTGAATAAGGTCAAGAAAATAGCCCTTTGGTAAATGGATGCCTTCAAGTCTCTGTTTTGCATGAGATGGTCTAATAGGTGAGCTTGTCATGGGAATTATATTAAACACTGCAGCTTTTGGTCAGACATTCACCTGTGTAAGCATTTGGACTGGGTGTTTAGCTGAAGTGAGTTTGGTTGAAGGAATGTTCTGGGTACATCTGGCATCTAGCGGTTCATCATAAAAAGAAAGATATTTTGCTTGATACCAGGAATTAAATGCTCCTAAGTGCCAGGCACATTTTGCTGCAATGTTTAAGTTCTTACGTGCTGTCATATATCTAGGTATTCTTTCCTAGGTGTTGTGAGTTGATTCTTTCTCATTGGTCCCATTTTATTTGTCAACATACTGGACTTGGTAAAATTTGTAGGAAACAAGCTCCTGCATGAGGCTTTGTTTGCACTTCTGGTTTCTGTCATGCGTTTCTTTCTGAGGTGTGAGAAGCAAATGCAACTGAATTGTTGCATTGATGGTGAAAATGTCAAAGTACTGCCATTACTTCTGGATTCTGCAGAAGCAGAGAAGTAGTGTGGAAGCTTTGAGGTCATTCCTGCCTGAGTCTGAGAGATAGTAATTTTCCCCAAGAAAAGTAGGGGAAAATACCTTTGAAACTGTTAACTCTGGGATGTTTAACCATTGCTGTGTTGACTTCCAGGCAGTCCTTTCAAGGTTCCTGTGAAGGATGTTGTGGATCCCAGCAAAGTGAAGACAGCAGGACCAGGTCTGGGAACAGCCGTGCGAGCCAAAATCCCACAGTCCTTCACTGTAGATGCCAGCAAGGCAGGATTAGCACCCCTGGAGGTGGTGGTGGCAGGACCCAGAGGTAAGGAATTAATTACTTCATCCAGCTGTGCTCCCATCTCTGCATTTGAGTGGGTAGCATAGTCCTGGCCCTGCTTGCAGAGGTGATGATACCACTTGAATGAGCATTTCCATCTGTTCTTGTTCATCTGGCTTGAGCATCTTGACAGATGATCCGTGTGTCATGCTGCAAAAGGAAGAGACCTGAGTCCTAGGTAGTGCTGCTTTTGACTTTATCCCAATCTTCAGAGCAGGGAGAAGTGATGTGATTAACCATCACTGGTGAAAAATTGACTTAGATTTAGACATCAAAAAGTAAATCCAGTCTCATACATGAGTGAGAACTAGGGAAACTCATGTCAGTGGGTTGCATAAGTCTCTGAAACATGGTGGAACCCCTCAGTGGTCCCTAGAGAGCAGTGAGGCCCTTTAATGACAGAATTAATGATGTTTGCATCAACCTAGAAAGCTGTGTCTGGGTGGCACATTATCTCAGCAGTACCTTTCGGCTGCCAGTCTCATCTTGCTGGGAGGGAAGGGCTGCTTCCCCACCCAGGTGCCAGGTGAAGCTGGTGTGGGTGCCTCTCAGGTAACCCTTCTTTAATTTTAGTGGATGAGACGGATTCCCAGGGATGGCGCTCCCCATTGAAAGCGATCTCGGATTTCTTTAAAGGTGATCCAAAGGGTGGCCCTGAGACAGGTTTGAACTCATCACTCACTACTGGCAATTTTGGCTCTTGGAAATCCAATTGGCAAC